TTGAATACAGATTTTTGGACTTTTTACACATTGACAAATCTCAGTATATATTTGTAAATCTGAAGAGTCTCATGGTACTCTGGATAATGTTTTTTATCATGTTTAAAGTAAACATATAAATGGCCCTTTATTAACAAAGGAGAAATATTAGTTTTAATGTATTTAAATTTTACTATGAGGTTAATACAAAAATTCAATCAGCCATAATTGATTTTTTTCCCAAACATCCTCTCAAAACCACAGAGGACAAGAACAGCTCAGTATTTATTAAGGGGGACTAAGTCTGTAAAAAAAAAAAAAATAGAAACATAATCAACCCTCGTATAAATTAAAAGCTACATTAAAACAACAAAAAACTTGTAACTTACTTGGATTTAAATAAGAAAACAAAAAAATGGACTTCCAAAATATACATCATTGTTCATTTTAAACTAAACTGTCCTTGATGGTGGATTTAGTTGCAGGGCAGCAGAGGAGATGGCTTTAGTGTCAGTATGAGGAGGAACATGGTGAAGAACATGACAATGATGAAAGCAATGGTTCATTGCATTGAACTGAAATATGAGACCAAACCTAATTGACAAAAATACAGTGGAGGCAGAAAAATAACAAACACAAAAACACAGACTTTAAGACTTTAAACATCAAAACATAAGATACCAACAATAAATGAAGAAAAGTGTAAAATTAAACCAGAGTTCTTCATGTCAGGATAAATCAATAGTCCAGTTTAAGACAGTCGGAGTGCTGGAAATGATTAAGACTGTCATAAACATCAATAAATTTATTGTCGCTCAGCTCAAAACTCCAGTACTGTGAACCCTGTCGAGACCAGTCCCGAACATGATAACCCTGGATCTGTTTATTCTCTGGACTGTGTTCAACAATAAACCTTTGAACTTTTTCCCGGTTGTGTTCTGCATATGGGCTAGGAACCAAAACTCATTATGACAGCAAGTGTTAGCGAAGGCATTTCAGCCTTTAGCTCATTGGTTCTTCATGGAATGTAGACCTACAACATTTTAAAAATATTTTATGTTGTGACTGTAAGACTCCCATTATTCACTTCTAACTTGGGATCAGTAGACAGCTGATCGGAAAAACAATATGTCCGAGAACATTAATGGAAGAATTTTGCTGTTTTTGACTTTTCTTCTGTCTGTTTTTGGAGAAGGTGAGTGAAACTTTGTAATATTACACCTTCTTAATCAGAGGGGAACTTAAAGAGGATTTCTTGTGCCTGTGTTAATTTGAATTTAACAACCACCAGTGAACTAGGAAGTTCCTAACACTGAGAAAATACCATAACAAATTATGTTCTG